TTCTCTGAATTCTTCATACTTTTCATTTCTTAAGGGCACAGTAATACTTCATTACATTCAAGCATTCATGCATCACAATTTATCAAGTCATTCAGTAGCTGATGGGTATCTGCTTTGTTTTTAGTTCATTGCTACCACAAAAGTGCTGGGCAATATTTTAGATGACCACATATTCCTGGCAAAGAGGCATTATAGTACAGGAGATAAAAAACTGGACTTGGGAATTAGGAGAACCTAGGCATTTATCAGTAGTGTAACCATATTCAGGTCACTTAACCTCTCTCAGCCTCAGTTTCTTTATCTGTAAAATATTTCTAATACCTACCTTAACAGGTTGTTGTGAGGTTCAAATAAGATAACATTAACTGCAAATTTAAAATCTACTTATTATTATTATTATTGTGCAACACCATGACAGGGAATCATTTTTTATAACTTCCTTCTTTCAATCTTATTTTTACTAATGTCTTTTTATTTTTATATCACCTTAATTTATAAATATATCCTTTCTTCTTGTAACAAAGATTTTAAGAATGAAAGAAGAAAACAAGCATTTCAGCAAAAACAGTCAACATATTAACTGTATCTGATAGGATATACAATACTCTACATCCATAATCCTTCACTTCTGCAAAGTGAGGAGGGAGGTACATTTTATTAATTCTTAGTCCTGTAGAGGACTAAGCTTGATCAGTATAATTAAACACCTTTCAGTCCCTTTTTTTGTTCCTCCCAATTGCATTATTGCACTCAATGCATTTGTGTTTCCCTGGTTCTGCTCATGTAAGTCTTCTCATACTTCTCAGAATTCTTAATTTGTCATTTCTTATGAGTCCAGTAATATTTCACTAATTTTGTCTAGTAAGTTGCAACCTCAATCACCCTGCTCCCTGTTCTTCAACTTCTCCCTACCTACTGGTTTCTTCCCTAGAGCCTTTAAATTTTCCATCTCCCCCATCCGTAAACCTTTACTAGATGATACCTTTCCCTCAAGTTCTCATACTATTCTCAGCCAAGCTTCTACACTTTTGCATCCATGTCCTCTCCTCTACTCACTCCTTAATTCTTTGCAGTCTATCTGCTGACCTCATCACTTACTGCAACTGCTTTCTACAAGTTACCAGCAATCTCTTAATTGAAAAAATTGGAAGGTCTTTTCTCACACCTTACACTTCTTAACATAATCCATTTGAGACTATCAGACCCTTTCTTCCCTGTTTTTTTTTTAATTTTTATTGGTGACATTGGTTCTCCTCCTATGTTACTGCTCCTTCTCAATCTCCTTTGCTGGTTTATCTTCTAGTTTATCAAGCCCCAATCTGTAGTGTTCCTCATGGTCAGGCTCTGACCTGGACCTTCATCTATCTACACATACTCTTTCTCTTGGTTACCTCTTCAGTTTCCATGGTTTTAATGATAATCTCTATGAGATGATAGATTTATATATTCCATACACAAACACCTCCTCCATTCCACCCACAATGAGTCCTCTATCACCAAGCGCCTATTGGATATTTCAAACTGAATGTTTCAGAGCCATTTCAATTCAACATGTCCAAAACAGAACTCATTATCTTTACCCTCAAATACTTCCCTCTTCCAAATTTCCCTAGTTCTGTCAAAGACACAAATATTTCACTAGTTTCACAGGTTTATAACCTCGGAATTTTTCTCAACTCTTCACTCTCCTACATCTTTCACATGCAACAGTTTCTAAGTCTTGCTGTTTCTATCTCCACATTTCTCCCATCAGAACTCTTTTCTCTACTCACCCAGCTACTATCTTAGCTCAGTCCTTCATCACCTCTCACCTAGACTATTTCAACAACATCCTAAAAATTTTCCCTGCTTCATCTCTCCCTGCTCCAGTATATCCTTCATAAGCTGCCAAAAAGATTTTCAAGTACAGATCTAACCATATAACTCTCTTTAGTCAAAAAATTCCAATAGCTCCCTATTGGAACAAATTTAAACTCTTCCTTTTGGCATTTTAAGACCTTTATAATGTGGCCCTAACCTGCCTTTTCAGCCTCATTATGTATTATTCCCTTCCAGCACCCTGCAGTTCAGACAAACTAGCCTTCTCTGTGTTCATCACACATGACACTCCCTCTTCCTTCTCTATTCCTTTCTACTGGTTATTCAACAGGCCTGGAATGTGTCCCCACCTCACCTCTGTCTCCTAGTTTCTCACTCTTTCTTCAAATCTCAGTTCAAACACCATCTTCTACACGAAGCCTTTCTTGATCTCCACTGCTAGTGCTATCTTCCCCCATCTTGTATTTAAGTATTTTGCATTTATTCTCTTTGTACTTATTCTAAGAATTAGGACTGTTTCATTCCTTGTATTTCTATTCTTGGTGCCTATGACAGTGTCTAGAATACAGTAGATGCTTAAATAGGTGCTCATTGATTACGTTGCATTCATACATCACAATTTATTTAGTGATTTCTCAACATTTTATTTCCAATTATTCACTACCACTATGTTGCTAAGGATACTTTAGTGTATACACAGCCTTTCTTTTTATTTTTAATTTCTTTTTGGAAGTTATCCAACAGTGATTTCTGGGTCAAAGCAACAGATATATTGATTTGTTTTTAGTGTTATTCCTAATTGATTTCCAGAATGACCGGACCAATTCACACCACCAGCAAACACTGCATTAGTGTGCCTGGTTTTCCAGCATCCCTCCAACACAAATCATTCCCCTCCTTTGTCATCTTTGCCAATTTGCTGGATGTGAGGTGACACCTCAGCATTATTTTTGTGTGTATTTGTTTTATTATGAGTGATTTGGAGCAATCTTTCCTATGGTTAATAGTTTCCAATTATTTTGACCACTTCTTCATTGGCTTTTTGTCTTATATAGACCCACCTTTATCAGAGATATCTGATGGAAATATTTCCCCCCACTCAGAGTATTTTTTTCTTTTTATTCTAACTGCATTGATTTTGTTTTCAGGCAAAAATTTTTTTGTTTTGTGAAATAGAGATCACCTATTTTACCTTTTATGATCAACTCTATCCCTTGGGTTGATTAAAAATTTTCTCCCTTAGTTAAAATTTTGAGTTTATTGTGCTATATAACAAAAGATGTTGACTGTATCAATAATATTTAAAATGGTCTTTCAACACTTATACTTTGTTATTTTTTTAAACATCAATGAGTATTGTACTTTCTCAGTCTTTTTAATAATAACAACACATATAAGTTAAAATTTATATTTAGTACCTACTATGCATGAGGCACTATGTTAAGCACTTCACAAATATTATCTCATTTGATCCTCACAGCACCCCTAGAAGGCAGGTGCTATTACTGTCCTCATTTTACAGTTTAGGAAACTGAGGCAGAGATTAAGTGACTTGCCCTGGATAACACAGCAAGAAGGTGTCTGAGGTTGGATTTGAACTGCATCTATTGATATAGTCATATTGTTTAAAGTAGTTTTTAGTATGAGTATGCTAATTGATTTCCTAACTTTAGACCATCCTTATATCTCTGGCGTAAATCCAACTTGATCATAATGACATTTTAAAAATATTTTGCTATAGTCTTTTTTTGCTAGGATTTTATTTAAAATTTTTACATCCAGAAAAATGCTATCCACATCCAGAGAAAGAACTGATGGAATATGAATGCAGATTGAAGCATATTATTTTTACTTTATTTTTGTGTGTGTGCTTTTTTCTTGGTCTGTTTTTTCTTTTACAACATGACTGATATGGAAATGTTTCTCATGATTGCACATGTATAACCTATATCAAATTGCTAACTGTCTCAGGAGGGGAGGGAAGGAGAGAATTTGGAACTCAAAAAATCTAAAAAACATGTTTACATGCAATTGGGAAAAAATAAATTTTCTTTGAAAAATTTTATATCTATAATTATTAGTGATATTACTCAATGCTTCTTTTTCTTTGCTTTATCCTTCTCTGGCTTAAGAACTAGAACTATATTTGTCTAATTAAAATGTTCAGAAAAATTTTTTCTTAATTTTTGAGAATAATTTGTATAGCTTGGTTAATAACTACGTTTTAGATGTTTAGAGGTCCAACTCTTCTTGAAAAAGTTTATTGATGATCTTTGTTTTTACCTATTTGCCTCCTACTCCCACCCCCTTATTAAATCCTTTCTTTCTGTCTCTTTTTAAAGACTGGGTCTTTCTATCATACCCAAGTGCAGGGGCTACTCCCAAACCCAATCCCACTACTGATCAGCATGGGAACTTCCATTTCTGACCTTGGCTGGCTTGTTCCTCCTTAGGTAACCTAGTGGTCCCTGCCCTCCACTCCCAGGGGCTCACCAATTTAATGCCAAACTCAGTGTAAATATCTAACTATGCTCCAGCTTTAGACCTCCCTGGTAGCTAGGATTATAGGAGTGTACCACCATGCTTGGCTCCAATCTCATTTCTTTTCCAAGATGTTTTCCCTTGTTCTGTCCTCATTGTTTATCTCCCTTTCCAATATTTTATTAATTTTATTTTCTGATTCAAAGATTTAGACTTTTAAACTTTTGCAAAGGTTCCCAAAGTGGGCGATACCGCTCCCTAGGGGGGTGCTGGAACAATCTAAAGGGTTGGTAGTAGCCTCGGGTGTAATTGAGGGGTGTTAAATAAGACTAAGGAGGTGATGGAAGCATAGGGAAAGAAGAGAAGAGAATTTTGAAAAACCGTTCATATATGTTTCATCTGTTGTGTGACAGAGTTAAAATCATAGTGATTACATTATTTTCCAAATAAACACACAAAATGCAAGTTATAACTGATCAGTGGTCAAGTCCACTGACAGGTCTTAACATGCAAGTATTGGCAGGCAAGTGTGTCATGCATTGTTGGGAAGTCCAGTATGCATTGGCAGGAATATTCATATGCATGTGATGACTTGTTTACGATATACTATACAGTTACATGATGTAATACTACATTATCAAAATTTCAATGCAGGAAAAAAACTCCACAAATTCACAATAAATTATTAGATTTAAGATGTGTCATTTTTTTAAAAAAAATTTATAATTTTTTGAAATGCCACAATTTTCAAAAAACTGTTAAAGGGTTAAGGATTTCCAGGGGGTGGTGTTGAGTAATTTCTTTTTTTGAAAAGGGTGCAGTAGGCCAAATAACTTTGGGAACCTCTGCTTTAACGTATCACATAAGTAGAAGTTATCATAGTTGCTAATTTGCAACAGCACACTTAATACAAATCATTTTCAGAATTTCAAAGATTAGGGTCTCAGCTCTACAGCTGGAATTCCCATCCTTGGATCTAAAATACCTCAGGACATATGTACATATCACAATGGCTATTCCAGTATTTTCTAACTCAATTTAAATTTTCTTTAACATAAACAAAAATTGGCCCCATACAGAAATATTAAGGACATGAGACTGCAATGATTGTCAAAGAGCCAAACCAATAACAGGTAGCGTGCTGCTCTAGAAAATGCTGAAAATCATGATAATCAAAGATGGGATCAAATACTTTATACCTGATTATTAGGCTTAGGCATAAAGTAGTACCATTATCCTAGGCAACCTAGTTCTACAGTACAGAATAATTTCATTATTTTGAGTGCGATCATGTTTCTCTTCTTTCCTTCCTAACTAATGCTACAGCCTTTATCAATATATGTATATTCGATGATATACTCGGGGTAAATCTGATGTTTATCAAAGATGACATAAGTGGAGGGACTGGTCATGTTGTCCACACAGCTGTCACATCTGGTGACATTTTGAGGAGGATGAGTGTACTCCATTTTTCCTTGAACAAATGCTCCGACCAAAACTTGGGCAACAAACATAATCCTGTTTTTGGCACTGCTCTTATGATTGTTGTGGGAAGAGCAGGCGTCTTTCGCAAAGTAAATACCTAGGAATAATCAGAAGAGAACGAGGATGAGGATGACATTGGAAAGAAGAGTGTTAATACATAAGAACACATTATCACTTTGTGACTTTGATCCACTGTTTCCACATGACCTGAAATCATATGCATCATTACGATGTTAAAATGATTAAAAATACACCTTCCATATTTAAAAAAATTCCACACATACAATATCTTATTTGAGTCTCACTATAAAAAATATAGTTCAGGCAAGGCAAGTTAACAAGCATTTACTCAAAGTCTACTATATGCCAGGCACCATATAAGCACTGGGGGGGTGGGGGGGAATTTAAAAAAGGCAAAAAACAATTCATAGTCTAATGGGAGCAGCAACAGGAACAATTATTTTTTTTCAAGTTCATCATCTTTATTACTTGTATATCCAGAATAATCTATTATACAAATCTTTCAAAATAACTAGATATTACAAGAATAGTTTACAACATAGCTCTGATTGCACAAACACTCAATACAGGACACCATTTTCACAAATACATTTGTTTTCTTTTAAGAATACTTTAATACAGAAAATAGGTCTTTGAACATCTCAGAGCACAGTTCAGTAATAAGAGATTCCTTCCCTATTAGTTATGATAATGACTTATCATTTCTGGTTTTCTAATGCCATTTAACACAGTACATGTCAAACATATCCAAAGTAGTACTGAGACAGTGCTTTTTGTCTCACTGTCTTTCTGCCTCACTTTTCAAATACTGTTGAGTCTACCAAGTTCAAAGGACTTTAGACCTTTTTTACTGATCTGAAAGAATTCAAGTATTCTCTTGACTAGGAGAGCTCATTTAAACAGTTTTCCTTCTGAAATCACCTAGTTTGAACATTAAGGTATCTCACTAACCCTTAACTGGCAGCATTATCTTTTTCATTCTGATGCAGGTTGGATTATCCAGAATTTTATTTTAGGCCCCATGACTGGGTAGAGTTTTTACATTCCACCTATGGCTCCTAGAAACAGGAACAATTATGTACGAACAGGATAAAGACAGGAAAAATTTGAGATAATGAATAGAGGGAAGGCATTAATGAGCACTAAGGGAACCGTAGAAGGTGGGATTTTAACTCAGACCTGAGCTAGAGAAGCTAGGAATAGGAAATGAAAAAAGAGGGTGTTCTAGGGATGGGGGACAGCCGAGGAAAATCCCTGGAGTGGGGAAATGAAGGCCAGTGTCACTGGATCGCATTTTGGTCTATTTAATAGGTTTGTCTTATATGTACACATATAGAGCAAATGTAGTGGAAACAATACTGAAGGGGAAGCATGAGTTAAGATATCTGGGTTCCAGTCCCTACTTTGCTAGTTGTGTGATCATCAATCAATCTGAAAAAAAAAAAGCCAAGCATTTTTTAAGTGCTTATTGTATACCAGGCACTGCATTAGGCACTGGGGATATAGTCCCTGTCTTCAAGAAACACACATTTTATCATGAGAGAACAGGTACATTAGTCAAGTATAGGCAAAACAAATACAACGTAAATTGGGGCTGGGGCAGGCACCTGCCGATAGGGGAACATGAAAAGGCGTCATGGAAAGAATGACACCTGAGTAGAGTTTTGAAGAAAATAAGGGATTCTAAGAGACCGAAGTGAGGTGGGAGTGCATTCCTGGCATAGAGCACAGCCAGTGCAAAGGCACAGACAAGAGACAAGTGTTGTAGATGAGAAACAGCCAGAGGGCCAATTTTGCTGCATCCCAGAGTTCAGAAAGGGGAATAATATTTAATATGGTTGGGAAGGCAGGTTGTGGCTAGGTTGTGGAGGGGTTCAAAGGCAAGCAGAGGGGCTTATATTTGATCATAAAAACAATTGGGAGGCTTTGGAGTTTATTGTATAGGGAATGACACAGTCAGATTTGCAATTTTGAAAAATTCTGTTAGCAGCTATGTGGCAGATGGATTAGAGAAGAGAGAAACTTGAGGTAAGGAGAACAATTAGAAGCATATTGTTTTGATGAACAATAGCTATATATTGAGGCATTTGTTTTTTCAGGTTTTTTTTAAAAAATTACTTAATGGGGGGTGGGAGGGACAGATTAAGGAAAAAATACTTGTTACTTGAAAAATAATAATAACAAACTTTTTTAAGGAGAAAAAATGTATTTACTTAGTTTGTATATATGTTGCGTCACCTCAGTAGACTGTGAGTTACCTGAGGACAGAGACTATTATGTTTTTGTTCATTATTGGGATAGTTTTACCTTCCTGTATCAGCCATGGTACTCCACCATATCATCATTCTCTGCCTCTCTGACTGGAGGGTAAGATCCATTTAAGGAGGAAGCTCAGCTCAGATTTCTCATCTCTCACCTGGCTGTATCACTTTGGAACTTCTCCATTATGACCCCATTTCAGGTGCCTTTTCCACCTCCTCTCCCCTGTGCCCATTGCCAGAAGCTTCCCTTTATGTGTTTGCCCTTATTAGATTGTAAGCTCCTTGTGGGCAGGGAATTAGCTTCTTTTCTCTTTCTTTTTCTTCCTTTCTTTCTCACCAGCACTTAAGACATAGTAAGCATTTAATATTTATTGACTATTTACTTAGCATTCCTGGTACCTAGCACAAATACCTGGCCATAGTACATACTTAATAAATACTTCTTGAATTGAATATGGATCAAAGTTCCTTCCAAATCTAAAATCCATTTTGATCTAAGTCTGTCATTTCATTAGTATGGGGCATTTTCCAAATGTGGAAAATCCTTCCACCAATGCAGATCCATGACTCCTTTGTAATTTAGGTTTTTTTTCTAGTTTGTATTCATTCTATTTTTCTCTTTTTATTAAAAAATTTTAAAAATAGTATTTTATTTTTTTCACTCATGTATTGAGACAATTTTAGCAATTCATTTTCTTCTAATTTTGGCTGCTTTGGTTTTGTTCGTGCAAAACTTTTAATTGAATATAATCAAAATTATCTCTTTTACATTTCATAATGTCATCTCCTGTTTGGTCATGAATTCTTCCCTTCTCCATAGATCTGACAGGTACACTATTCCTTGCTCTTCTTATTTGCTTATAGTGTTACCTTTTATATCTAAATCATGCACCCATTTTGAGCTTATTTTGGTAAACAGTGTGATATATTGGTCTATACCTAATTTGTGCTCTATTGTTTTCCAATTTTCATAGCAGTTTTTGTCAAATAGCGAGTTCTTATTCCAAAGGCTAGTCTTTAGGTTTACAAAAAAACTAGGTTACTATGGTCATTGACTACTGTGTCTTGTGTACCTAATCTATTCCACTGATCTACCACTCTATTTCTTAGCCAGTACCAGATAGTTTTGATGATTACATCTTTATAATATAATTTTGAGATCTGGTATTGCTAGGCCACCTTCCTTTGTATTTTTTTCATTAATTCCCTTGATATTCTTGACCTTTTGTTCTTCCATATGAATTGTGTTATTTTTTCTAGCTCTATCAAATGATTTTTTGGTACTTTGATTGGCATGGCACTGAATAAGTAAATTAGTTTAGGCAGAATTGTCATTTTTATTATATTGGCTCAGCCTACCCATGAGCAATTGATGTTTTCCCAGTTGTTTAGATCTGACTTTATTTGTGTGTTTTGTAATTGCTTCATATACTTCCTGGGTTTGTCTTGGCAGGTAGACTACCAAGTATTTCATATTTTCAACAGTTATTTTAAGTGGAATTTCTCTTTCTATCTCTTGCTGTTGGGCTTCATTGGTCATATAAAGAAATGCTAATGATTTATGTGGGTTTATCTTACATCCTGCAATCCTGTTAAAGTTGTTAATTATTTCAAGTAGTTTTTCAGTTGATTGTCTAAATATGCCATCATATCATCTGCAAAGAGTGATAACTTCTTTCCCTCTTTATCTATTCTAATTCCTTCAATTTCTTTTTCTTTTTTATTGCTATAGCTAACATTTCTTGTACTAAATTAAATAACAGTGGTGATAAGGGACATTCTTGCTTTACCCTAATCTTATTGGGAAGGCTTATGGCTTATCCCCATTACAGATAATGCTTGCTGATGATTTTAGATAGATATTGCTTTTTATTGTAAGGAATGTTCCTTTTATTTCAATGCTCTCTATTGTTTTTAATACGAATGGGTGCTGTATTTTGTAAAAAGCTTTTTCAGCATCTATTGAGATAATCATATGATTTCTGTTGGTTTTGTTATTGATAATGGTCAATGATGTTGATAGTTTTCCTAATATTGAACCAACCCTGCATTCTTGGTATAAATCCCACCTGGTCATAATGTATAATCCTTGTGATACATTGTTGTAATCACCTTGCTAGTATTTTGTTCAAAATTTTTGCCTCAATATTCATTTGAGAAACTGGTCTATGATTTTCTTTTTCTGTTTTAGCTCTTCCTGGTTTAGGTATCAACACCATATTTGTGTCATAAAAGGAATCTGGGTAGGACTCCACTTATTTTTCCAAATACTTTATATAATACTGGAATTAATTGTTCTTTAAATGTTTGGTGGATTTCACTTGTGAACCCATCTGGTCCTGGGGATTATTTCTTAGGGAGTTCATTAATGGCTTGTTCAATTTCTTTTTCTAAGATGAGGTTATTTAGGCATTCTATTTCCTGATCTGTTAATCTGGGTAATTTATATTTTTGTAAATATTCACTGATTTCACTTAGATTTTTAGATTTATTTGGTATATAATTGTGCAAAACATTTCCTAATGATTGCTTTAATTTCTTCATCACTGGTGGTAATTTCACCCTTTTCATTTTTGATACTAGATATTTGGTTTTCTTTTTTTAACCAGATTAATCAATGGTTTATCTATCTTGTTGGTTGTTTTTTTTTTCATAAAACTGGTTCCTAGTTTTGTTTTTTAATTCAATAGTTTTTTTTTAACTTTCAATCTTATTAATCTCACCTTTGATTTTCAAGACTTCCAATTTGGTGCTTAATTGGGGATTTTAAATTTTTTCTTTTCTAGTTTTTTTTAAAGTTGCATACCCAATTCAT